TGTCATTCTGGCACTTCATCTGGGAGTGTTCCAGAATAAGAACTTGCTAGATGCTAGACTAGTGCTCCCAGGGTACATGTGTTTGTGTGTGTGTTTGCTAAGGGGTAGGGATGGGATTGTTTGCCCACTGTAATGCACAATCTTGCTCTCAAGCTAAACTTTACACTGCCTCATACCACTGGGCAAAAATATCAAAATGAAATTACCGGCTGGGTGTGGTGGCTCACACCTGTAATCCTAGCACTCTGGGAGGCCGAGGCGGGCGGATTGCTCGAGGTCAGGAGTTCGAAACCAGCCTGAGCAAGAGTGAGACCCTGTCTCTACTATAAATGAAAAAATTAATTGGCACACTAATATATATAGAAAAAATTAGCCGGCATAGTGGCCATGCCTGTAGTCCCAGCTACTCGGGAGGCTGAGGCAGCAGGATCGCTTGAGCCCAGGAGTTTGAGGTTGCTGTGAGCTAGGCTGACGCCACGGCACTCACTCCAGCCTGGGCAACAAAATGAGACTCTGTCTCAAAAAAAAAAAAAAAATATGAAATTACCATTCAGTCTGTGCAGAGTAAAACACTCTGAGCCTCCTCTATTCAATTTCTCTCCCCCACCAATTCAGAGACTGTCCTGTCCTTAGCTATACAGATTTTGCTTTGGGTCACTAAGTGCAGACCAGAACCCATGTCAGATCTCAATCCATTGTGTTCCCTAAAGCTGGGAATCAACTGTTTTTTCTCTGCTTTTCCAAGCATGTTTAGTGCATCCTTAGACTTCAAGGATTTTTCAGTATTGCTTTCCAGCATCACAAAATATAGCTACTTTAGAATCTCCATTTAACCAGGAAATAGTTTGAAAGATTTTTATTCCCAACCACTGATCCCACTTTTAGACCAACTGGGTAGTTCATTTTAACACTTTGCAAAAATGAAATTTGATTGGTGAAATGGCACTTAATTTTTAAAGAATAAACTTGCAATACTACAATTTTTGATGTTGGGCTGTGATTAAGGATCAAATTTTTATTTTTAATTTTTTTTGAGACAGTCTTGCTGTATTGCCTGGGCTAGAGTGCCATGGCATCAGACTAGCTCACAGCAACCTCAAACTCCTGGGCTCAAAGCAATCCTACTGCCTCAGCTTCCAGAGTAGCTGGGACTACAGGCATGCACCACCATGCCTGGCTAATTTTTTCTATATATTTTTAGTTGTCCAGCTAATTTCTTTCTATTTTTAGTAGAGACAGGGTCTCACTCTTGCTCAGGCTGGTCTTGAGCCCCTGATTTGAGAGATCCTTCTGCCTCAGCCTCCCAGAGTGCTAGGATTATAGGCATGAGCCACCTCACCCAGCCAAGGATCAAATTTTTTTTACCAGTCCATGGAGAAATGAGAAAAATGATGTTTTTTAAAAGTTCCATTTGAGTCTAAGATAATATTTTTCCAATTATTTTCTTAAAAGTTTTTTTTTTTTTTTTTTTTTTTTTAGACAAAGTCTTGCTCTGTCACTTGGGCTAGAGTGCACTGTCACCCAGGCTATAGTGCAGTGGCATCATCATAGCTCTTTGCAACCTCAAACTCCTGGGCTCAAGGGATCCTCCTGCCTTCAGCCTCCCGAGTAGCTGGGACTACAGCCACACGCCACCATGCCCAGCTAACTTTGCTATTTTTTGTGGAGATCCGGTCTCGCTCTTGCTCAGGCTGATCTTGAACTCCTGGTCTCAAGTGATCCCTCACGTGAGACTTGGCCTTCAAGAGTGCTAGGATTACAGGCATGAGCCACTGTGCTCAGCCTAAAAGAATATTTTAATATTACAAAAATGAAAAGGTGATGCTATTAGATGGCAGACTTCATTTTTAAATCCCCTGAGTTGGCAAAATAAAAGTTGACATTCCTATATTTCTTTTTCTGGTCTGTGACATCTCTAAAGTCTGTGAACTACTTATCTCAACTAGCTCCATCATTTTACAAGTAAACGTAAGGCCAAGAATGGCAGTTTAATACAGGAATTTAAAGGCTTGAGGAGGTGCTCTGAATGTGAATGGTCATTTTGGGGTAATATTTGAGCCCTTACTACCAGTAAATTACTATGCTAGATGCTTTACATTATACCTTATACCCCAAAACCATCTATGAGATGTATTTTCTTGCCTCCCCTCTAATGGATCAGGAAGCTGAGGCATAATAAGTAACCTGCCTATGGTCACACAACTTATAAGTGCTGGAGCCGGGATTTGATCTCAAGCACTCAGACCTCAAAACTACACCTTTAGACACTATGTACTATCTCTGCATCATTGATACAAAATGTCCTGCTCACTACCTCTTCCATGAACCTTTGCCTAGGAAGCTGGAGAAGTGGCAGTTTCTATCCAACTTTTCATAAACATCCTTTCTTTCATCAGCACCATGTGAACTTCATTTACCACACTGCTAAATGAAGCCTCCTGCTTGTACTATCTATACACACAAAGGAAATTGTGTCAGTTTCTCAATTTGATCATTCAAATCATATCAAAGATTTGTTTTTAAGTTTTCTGATATTAGTATGCTTCTAATATCTTTAGATTCTACTCTAAGGACTATCAAAGAAATGAATGTTTCTTTGTTGAGATACCAAAATCCAAAGGCAGCTAGCCCATCAGTCTTTCCATTTCAAAAGGTTAAAGGTCTAGATTGTTGCCCTCCAGTTTGCTGGTCTACTCTGACATCACTGGTGCCCAAACAAAGAGCATTTTGCTTTATATGGGCCTATGTAAGTGTAAAGTGCCACTACATCAGAGACCAGTGTGAATATCAGCTGTGCTAGAAACAGGATATGGCCAAGGAGTAAAGAATTACAAGGGTAAGAATAATTAGCCTTTATGTTTCTTAGGTGTATGATCAGTACTAGAAGAACCACACACAGAAACTGAGAAATTGAAAGGCAAAGTTGACATAAATGTCATCGGGTCACTGATAGCTAGAAATCCCTTCAACACCACCTCATGCCTGAAGGGGACACAGAACCTCAAAGACCCACACAATCTGTAGATAAAAGTATCTTATTCTTTTCCATTACACTGAAAAACACTTTTGAGACTATTTAATTCCTTTTCAAAAACCATGTCCTTGAGTTCAAAGGAGGGAGCTGTAGGTTTATTTCTGTTGTCTTGAAACCAAATTTAGAATTTGTGTTTTTCCTGTCAGCCTAGTCTTACCTAGGAATCATAAGGCTGAAAAGGAGGATATTAATAGGTCATTTGACAAGTTATCTGATTAGTTGCTATCCTGGCAGGATGAGTTTGTTGTGCCTTTGAAGGCCAGAGGAAAAGGTGATTCTCTAAACTACTTAAGAGTTGATAGTTTAGGCCAGGCACAGTGGCTCACGCCTGTAATCCTAGCACTCTGGGAGGCCAGACAGGCGGATCATTTGAGCTCAGGAGTTCGAGACCAGCCTGAGCAAGAGCGAGACCCATCTCTACTAAAAATAGAAAGAAATTAATTGGCCAACTAAAAAAAAAAAAAATTTTTTATATATATATATATAATTAGCCAGGCATGGTGGCACATGCCTGTAGTCCCAGGTACTCAGGCTGAGGCAGCAGGATTGCCTGAGCCCAGGAGTTTGAGGTTGCTGTGAGCTAGGCTGATGCCACAGCACTCTAGCCTGGGCAACAGAGTGAGACTCTGTCTCAAAAAAAGAAAAAAACTTCAGGTCAGATAATCCTTCCAAGTTTTCTACAAAAGTGGAAAAGAGGCACATCACTTGCATGCGAATAATAAATATGATTGTACTAACATCAAAGTATGACATTAGTGATTAATGAGCATGGACTTTGGTGTCATAGATTTAGGTTTGAATTCCCCTCACCAGGGTGAGGCTAGGCAACTCAGTCTCTCTGGGCCTCTCCTCAGGGATTATAATACTACCTATCTCAAGACTGTTGTGAGGATTAAATGAGATGATCCATATACAATACATAACTTGCTCAGATAAGTAAGTGCTAAGTAGACAAAGCCATTACAACCTGAGGCCTCAACGAAGGTCTCTTTCAGCCAGCTGGTGGCCCTAGGGCAAGCCAGCAATTCCAGTGCTTCCTTGCACAATGTAGTCACTAACCAAAAGTAAAAATTCCAAAGGGGACACAACTTGATCATTCATTTGCACCATATACAGTTCTGGTCGCCTGCCTTCTGATGACTGGATCTGCTTCTGGCTCCAGCTTGTCCAGAGTTTTTACTTATTTATTTTGAGACAGAGTCTAGCTTTGTTGCTCTGGCTAGAGTGAGTGCCATGGCGTCAGCCTAGCTCACAGCAATCTCAAACTCCTGGGCTCAAGCAATCCTCCTGCCTCAGCCTCCCGAGTAGCTGGGACTACAGGCATGCACCACCATGCCTGGCTAATTTTTTCTGTATATATTAGTTGGCCAATTAATTTCTTTCTATTTTTAGTAGAGACGGGGTCTCGCTCTTGCTCAGGCTGGTTTCAAACTCCTGACCTCAAGCAATCCGCCCGCCTCGGCCTCCCAGAGTGCTAGGATTACAGGCGTGAGCCACCGCGCCCAGCCTGTCCAGAGTTTTTATAAACCCCTTTTGTAGATTCTCCGATAATCTACAGAAACTCTCAAGGCCCAGACTTGGATTAGAAGTAGGGTGCAGCTTTCTGGAGAAGGGCCGGAAGAGGAAATACAGTAAATGATCACTCTAATCTCCCAGTTTTGCCCTCTAGAGTCTCTCTAGATTGAGAGCAAAAGGCTGACGGTGCTAACCTAAACCCTAAAGTAGGATGCAGCCGCAAGATTTTAATGCCCAGGAGCCGTTGCAGGAGTACATCGGAGGGGACTGACATCCCTCCCTACAAGCCCCTTTGCCTTTGATACCTCCTGGCCAAGGAAAACTCTAACCACTAGAGACTATCATTTAAGGCCAACTCCCTCAAACACTGAAAAAGACCTCAAAATGAGCTCAGTCCCCACTAGAAGCACCGCCCCGCTTACGTACGTGCGTGCGTGCGTCAGCGCGCGTGCGCATAGGCTGCTGGGATGCCACCTCCTACCCCCAATCCGGTCTTCCAGTTTCCCGGCGTGCTTCGGGCCCGCCAAATGGGAGGGGGAGACGCAAGATGGCGGCAGCCGCGAACTCGGGCTCCAGCCTCCCGCTGTTCGACTGCCCGACCTGGTGAGTGGCGGGGCGGCCAGGGCTGGAGTGGCCTGGCCTGAGCTAGCCTGGGCTGGAAGGGCGGCTCATTTTTTGCGGCGAGCCAAAGGGCTCAGAGAACCTTGAATGGTTGAGGAAAAACTGTTCGCTGCGCCGGGCCAGGCTACGTGTGGAGGAACCGGGAGCCTGGAGCCCGGGCCCAAGAATTGAAGAAACCTGGGGTAGAGAGCTCAAAGGCGCTCGCTTAGGCAGTCCCTTGGGCGGTCAGCCGGTCTCCTGGGCGCTTTGGGGCCTTGGCCCCGAACTTACCCCCAACTCCTGACTTGAGTGTCGGGTGCTCTTGTGGAGCATGGTACCTGGCCCCCTGCTGTACGTCCCGAGCGCACTCGAGCCAGCTTCCCTGCCACAACCCGACCTCAGAGCCCCGCATCCCTCTGTTTTTGCTGTGGTATCTGTCTCCCACAGACTGGGAGCTCCCTGAGGACAGGGATGGCGCTGAGTTACCCTCGAGTTCTCAGTGACCAGCGCGAAGCCCAGCACAAGTGGGCATTAGGAATTGTTGAAATGAACCCTTGTCATCCCTTCAGAAGTTCCTGGGAATAATGGAGTAATTTAATTTGGTATTTGAGTAGGGTATAAGATTAATAAATATGAATTGCCTTGCAAGGAGACGCGTCTGAGTTAAAAGCTTTTTCTGCTGTAGCTAATCATAATGTATTGTTTATATTACTCATCTGTTTCCCGTTATATTGAGATCCTCAAGGGCAAAGAGTGATGCATTTTTATATTCTCAGCTCCTAGGCCTAAGTCAGGCACACAGTAGGAATTTAGAAAGTATATTTTGGATGTAACATTCCTTTTCTTGTTTCCCAGACAAAATGGGCTTTTGTCCAGTCCACTGTCCTTTCAGCAGCTGCCATAGAGGGGTTGGGGCAGGATTGTGAGATGACTATGTTACATCTTCAATTAGATAGCCAATGATACATTTCTTATGTGCATAATGTAAGGTCTCTGACAAGGTTGTTCTTTCTTCAAACTTCAAATTAGCAAACGCAGGAAGCAAGTGAATGTGTAGCTATCTTCTGGATCCCTTTGCAATTTTGGACTATCCAGTTCTTTCAGTCCACAAATTATATGTCTATTTTGGTCCCTTGCTGTATTAATATCAAAATTTGGACCAGGATAACAAACATAGAAGAGACTGTTTGAAATTACCTACCATTTCTTTAGGGTCTGGTATGTACCAGGCGCTGCATTAAGTGCTTTGACATGTGTGTATCCCCTTTGAATGGTATGGCTATAGGAATATAGAGAAAAGTTCACTTAATCATGCTGTTGTAGAAAGACCTGTTCAAAGGTAACATATATCTTTTGGTATTCATTTGGTACCTGGTTTCATGAGACATGATTTTGAATTACCCTAATTCTCTGATTATGTACTTCTGATTTGGTCTCAGAGCTCAGGGCAGTAACCTCTGCTTATTCCCATTTGGGATGAGACTAATCTTGACCATCCCAAACAACAGCTAATTTATACTACCTTTATATGGTATTAGGGTAGTGGCAAATCTCAGATTCAAACTTAAGATGACCATTCAACCCCAGCTATAGTACTTGCACTCTGTATGCAGCTTTCTCTCCTAGGTGAATATCCAGTGTTAAAATATAGGTTTCTTTGGTGCTGCTCTAAATACAGATCCACTAAAATCTGTTTTAGAGCAATTGAATCACTGGGGACATGTCAAACGTAGAATGGAGCTGTAATAACAGTGAAGTAGATGACATTTCTGCTTGAACATGAACTAATTATAGGTTGGCAGGAGAGCTGCAATGTTGAATGGGACAATGATTGTAAATAGTATTTATGAACTCATCCTGAAAATGCTTTTTTCACTCTTATTTTTCAGGGCAGGTAAGCCCCCTCCTGGTTTACATCTGGATGTAGTCAAAGGAGACAAACTAATTGAGGTATGGAAATACAAGTCTTCCCCTTTTTTCCCCACCACACTAAGGACTTTTGCTAGTGACTCATTTTCCACCCCCTCTCCTGTGCTTTGTTTTCCAGCAATTCTACTTTCTTTCATTCTGAATTATTTTTCTATTAAAAGCACATGGTGATATAACACACTCAAAGCTCATATCTACCACAGACACTCAGTTTTTTGTGACTTCTCTCACCTTTGAAATGATGAAAGGTGGATGGATGGGCTCTAATCATATCAGAGGCCCTAGTCACTTGGTGAATTCCCTGTCTCTGGGTACATGGAGTTGTGTAGAAGATATATAATATGTAATAACTGAAGAAGAAAGTGAATGATACATATTGAATTTAACTTTTAAGTTGTTTTTATGGGATTCAGGACTAACCCCTTCAAAGAAGTGTGGTAAACTAAGACACTTGCTCCAAAAAGAGAATGGAATGGTGGTAAAATTCATTCATTCATTCAAAACATTTATTGAGCGTTTACTATATGCCACTTACTGTGCTCAGCATAGGGAATACAACAGTGAGCAAAACAAACATGATTTCTGTCCTTAAGTCATCCAGTGGAAAGACAGAATCACAAAAAATTACATAATTTTAATTGAAATAAGTACTATAAAAGTTTAGCAGAATTCCAGCTTTTTATACAAGTCTCTAGAGTGAACACCACATAGGACTTAAAGACAACATGAGTTTTTACTAGCTGTTAGATTAAGTTTTTCTTAATCCTTACAGTATTATTTATTTACCAAGAAATGGAGATTAAGCCCACATAGCTGTGAGACTCTATGTCTTAGACCAGTTTTATGTTTGCTTGCTTAGCTAGAATTTAGGTTCAAAGCCCCATTTTGGGGTTTTTTTTGGGTCTGTATAATACAAACTTTGCAACTTCATGGTTGCTAACTTGAATAGCTATCTGAGATGTTCTGTAAATATATTGTTGTCACTTTTAGGATGTTGTAGAGATAACCAGGTATTTTGCAAAGTATTATGGCATGCATGGGCTTAATGAATTCTCCTGTTACTAATTCATCATGGCCTCACCTAGTCATGTGAGGTTCAAAAAGAACCCTTTTATCATGAGTTTTTGTATCTTAAAGATTCAAAACATTGAGATTATTCAAGAAAATAATTTAGCTAAAATATTTATAAAACCTTTTTTACTATAGATTATTCCACAGATACAAAATATTGCTAAATAGCGTGAAGCTTGAAGGCATATAGGAACATATTTCATTACTAGAATTCAGTTTTTAGTTTGCAACAGGAAGAAACTGACAAGGAGGCCTAGCCTTAGTGATAACATCACAATTCCTTTGTGAAATAATTTATATTTTCAAAGCACTAACTTGTCAAAAACCCCTCTGATTACTAGTTTCCATTAGTGATCCATTAGCTGTCTTTCAGTGCTCTTAGGTGTGTTGAGTTGCCACACAGTTGTTAAGTTACGATCCTTAGACATCACTATATTGTTCTTGAGAGTAGACCTGAAATGTGCTTATTTTTTAGGATTTAAACTTGATCAGCACTTGATACTAACCGAGCTATCTATATCCTAGCCTTGTGTCAAAGGCTTGTGATATGTTGTGGTAGCTGGGTTTAAGAAGTGCAATATTAAAACAAAAGCCATGAGACTTGTAAGCCCAGTGTGTAAAGATACACTCTGAGTTATAACTCAGAGGCACAGTTGGATAGTGGTATTGACATAGCTAATTAAGAAGTTATGGCCGGGTGCAGTGGCTCATGCCTGTAATCCTACCACTCTGGGAGGCCAAGGCGGGCGGATTGCTCAAGGTCAGGAGTTCAAAACCAGCCTGAGCAAGAGTGAGACCCCATCTCTTACTATAAATAGAAAGAAATTAATTGGCTAACTAAAAATATATAGAGAAAAAATTAGCCGGGCATGGTGGCACATGCCTGTAGTCTCAGCTACTTGGGAGGCTGAGGCAGGAGGATCGCTTGAGTCCAGGAGTTTGAGGTTGCTGTGAGCTAGGCTGATGCCATGGCACTCACTCTAGCCTGGGCAACAAAGCGAGACTCTGTCTCAAAAGAAAAAAGAAAGGCCAGTACATTATTTAATTCACTTGGATAGAAGAAACACATTGTCCAATAATTAACACATTTCGTTGATTTTAAGACATACTGTTTTCTGTTAAAATTCTATACATTTTAACATTTCAGTAATTGGAATGCCTTTAATAGTGAATCTGTGCGTTTAATTTGGGAGTCCTTTCTCTCTTTTTCTTCTCAAATCCCCTAAATCTCTGGTATGTCTTTGGCAACCTAGAGTCATAGAAATTTAATCATTGTAAACTGGTGGTCTTTTATGTTCTTTGAGACTACTCTGTGAGCACTATGGTTAGCAAATTTAAGTTTGTGCGAATGTAATCTGTGTGCATATAAAAATAAATATGAATGAGAAATGCTGTGAGGGCCGGCGCAGTGGCTCACGCCTGTAATCCTAGCACTCTGGGAGGCCGAGGCAGGAGGATCGCTCAACGTCAGGAGTTCAAAACCAGCCTGAGCAAGAGCGAGACCTCATCTCTACTAAAAAAAAAAAAAAGAAAGAAATTGGCTTGACAACTAAAAATATATAGGAAAAATTAGCCGGGCATGATGGCGCATGCCTGTAGTCCCAGCTACTCAGGAGGCTGAGCCTAGAGGATCGCTTGAGTCCAGGAGTTTGAGGTTGCTGTGAGCTAAGCTGATGCTACCACAGCACTCTAGCCTGGGCAGCAGAGCGAGACTTTGTCTCAAAAAAAGAAATGTAGTGAGATTCAGCTTGAATAGATATTACTTAGAAAAAGATGTTAAAATTTTAGGGCTCTCTTTTAATTCTGAAGCAATGTCTTATTTTTAACCCAAGTCTTAAAACTTGGGTCAAAGCAGACCTGGAGGTGACTGACTAAGCTGTTAGGCTGTTGTTAAATCTTGGTGCTCCGTTAGTAGTATATGTCTGGAACAAACTGCATCAGCAGCAGATGGGCACTGCTGGACAGGGTTTTCCAGAGGTGACCCACATATCTAAGCTAGCTTGAACTAATTGAACCTTAAGGCTAAGCTTGAAAGAAACTGGGTGATCGTTTAAAAGAAAAATTAAGATTGTGACCCACAGTACTTATTCACTCCTTAAAATATTCCTTGCCATATGGTGTATTTTTTGATGTAAGTAGAATGAAAAAATATGTAGTGATTAAAAGAGCTTAGACTCTGAAGCTAGACAAATCTGAATTTCTAACCCAGCCCACAAATATTTGTGTTAACTCGAGTATGTTAATTACTTTTTTTTTTTTTTTGAGACAGAGTCTCACTTTTTTTCCCAGGCTAGGGTGAGTGCCGTGACATCAGCCTAACTCACAGCAACCTCAAACTCCTGGGCTCAGGCGATCCTCCTGCCTCAGCCTCCCAAGCAGCTGGGACTACAGGCCTGCGCCACCATGCGGCTAATTTTTCTATATATTTTTTAGTTGGCCAATTAATTCTTCTATTTATAGTAAGAATGGGGTCTCGCTCTTGCTCAGGCTGGTGTCAAACTCCTGACCTTGAGCAATCCTCCCACCTCGCCTCCCAGAGTGCTAGGATTACAGGTGTGAGCCACCACGCCTGGCCCTAATTAACTTCTTTATGCTTCAATTTTGTCGTCTATAAAAATAGGAAGTATAGTACCTACCTACCTCGTAGGGTGGTTGTGAGGATGAAATGACATAACATGAAACTCATAGCGCAGTGTGTAGCACAGACGTGCTCAGCAGTTGTTACAGTTATTGATGCTGTCTTTTGGTTTTGTGAGGACAATGGAAAAGCATAGGGGTGATTAGTAGCCCACTGTGAGTTCAAAGACTGAGCCAGGAATGAAATACAAGCCTCTTGATTCCTAGCCTGGTGCTAACTTGACTATACTTCTCTACTCAGCTTTGTGCTATCTGTTCTCGGGGATTTAAGAAGTATAGTGTAAAATGAACTAGAGCTTCATGAGACCTTGTGTTTAAGGGGAAAACACAGCATATCCAAATGAGAATTATTCTTCAGGTGGTCTCACTATATTACTAGACCACTAGCATTGGAAGAAGCATTAGCAATAATTCACCTTAGAGTCCCTCATTTATGACAGTCTGGTTTACAACTATATATGTGGCAAAATTTTTACTGATCCAGGATTAAAAGAAATAGGAGAGTGTAGTGAGTTTTTTATAAAGCTAAATTCAGCACAAAGAATGATCCTTCATCCTTGCCCTTCCTACTCATTTACTGATAAAATGGCTTTTCTTTTATAAAATGATGATGATACTAAATCCATGACACTTTTTTTTTAATGTCCTTATTTGGCAAAATAAAAAAGTTAACACTCCTATGTCAGCCACTTTTCCCCTCACAATTTTTAAATAACAGTTTGCTGGTCTGTAAAATCCCCTTTTCTGGTATTATATTGGGGCATTTTGTAGTTTTATTTTTTACAGTGCCACAGTAGCAGCATGAGAACATTTTGGAGCTCTTCTCTTAGAAGGGTTCCAGACCCATGGCACATTGTTTAGAATATTAGCATTGCAAGTCAGTCACACCTAAGCTTAAATCCCAGATCTGCCACTTCACCAGCTGGGCCACCTTGGATGATTGACTCTCCAAATCTGTTGTCTTATCTTTAACAATAGAGGTGATACTTGCTTCACAGAGTTGTTTTGAAGATTAAATGAGTTAATGTTTAAAATGCTTAGCAATGATAGTTAATTCCCACATCCCTCTTCCCCAAATCTGGAAAATCTTTGCCACATGAGGTAATTCATATTTGGACACAGTAAATACTCATTTAGAATTAACTCTGCATATCTTTTTGCTGCCAAAGTGAAATGAGACAATAAAGTGGGATTTAGCGACATATACAAAGATGTCTAATATAATTCCAGTTCCTAAAGAGAGTTCCAAAAATACTTTGGGGCTATAGCAGCACAATTAGACTATAGATAGTATTTGTAGATAGGTATTTGTACCTCGTTCCTTTCCCAACCAAGTGATAACCTTCATTTGGATGTATATTTTCTGAGAAGTAATCTTATTTCCTTATAGATATGCCTTTTGTGCTTCTTCTTTCCTGATTGACTTAAAATTAAGACCCAACAGGCCAGGTGTGGTGGCTCACACCTGTAATCCTAACATCCTGGGAAGCCAAGGCTGGAGGAGATCACTTGAGGTCAGGAGTTCAAGACCAGCCTGAGCAAGAACAAGACTGTCTCTACAAAAAATAGAAAAAATTAGCCAGGTGTGATGGCTGGCACCTGTAGTCCTAACTACTATAGGTTGAGGCTGAGGCAGGAGGATCCCTTGAACTCAGGAGTTTGAGGTTGCAGTGGGCTATGCTGATGCCACAGCACTCTTCCTGGGGCAGAGTGAAACTTTGTCTCAAAAAAAAAAAATTAGTAAATTATTCTGAGCTTTTTATGTTGAAGAATAATGGGAAATATTTTTTTTTCTCCTTGGTAAGGAATTTTATCTACTCACGATCCTCTACTTATTTTATTGGAAGAGTTTTTGGTAAACCCTGTTGAAATAAGATTTAAGTAATATTTAATTTAATATTTATTTAGAAACTGATTATTGATGAGAAGAAGTATTACTTATTTGGGAGAAACCCTGATTTGTGTGACTTTACCATTGACCACCAGTCTTGCTCTCGGGTCCACGCTGCACTGGTCTACCACAAGCATCTGAAGAGAGTTTTCCTGATAGATCTCAATAGTAGTAAGTAACTGCCTCCCAATTCACATGTTCCCTTTGGGCAATGTGAAAATGCCCTTAGAGTTCTTTAGTTTGGAAACCCTGCTTTATTATTCAAGGAAAAAGTTTGTTTGTTTTTAAAATCAGCCCTTCTCTGTTCCTGTGATTGTCATATTTTCTTGAAATAATTGATGATTGGCTATGGAGAGAAGAAAGCTTTGGGGGCACTGTCTTAAAGGAGGCAATGGCATATACAGATGGTCCCTGACTTATAATGGTTCAACTTAATGATTTTTCAGCTTTAGGACGGTACAAAAGTGATGTACATTCAGTAGAAACTGTACTTCAGATTTTGAATTTTGATCTTTTCCTGGGCTAGCAATATGCAATACATACAATGAATGCTCTTTTGCCATGCTGAGCAGTGGCAGAGCGGGCCACAGCTCCCAGTCAGCCACAGGATCACAGGGGTAAACAACCAATGCTCTATAGTGTATTGTGTTGCCAGCATTTTTGGATTTTGTGTTTCCCCATCCTATCATGTGTACAAAACGCCCATCTGCTTCTGGTGAGAAGAGGAGGAAGGCAGTTACTCTTGAGATAAAACTCAGGATACTTGCCCAGCATGAAGGCTGCAAGCTAGTAATGGCTATCGCACGTGAGTTAGGACTTGCACAGCCCATGATCTTGACCATCTTATCCTTTAAATGTATTTTTGACTGCAATGTTTTCAATTCACAATGAATTTATTGGGACATACCCCATTGTAAGTTCAGGATCAACTGTATAGAGAACAGAAAAGGCACCCAGGAACTAGGGATTATGAGTATTCAGGTGTTTATAGGATCATGATAAATTGTGATCCAATTTAAGCAGAAGCCATGATTATGATTAGCTCCATAAATGTAGTAGAGCAGTGGTGCAGGACATTTTAAGCATACTTATTTTAAGCAAAATTTAATTATTTACAATGGGATCTTTATCCCAGCTACATTTTGCTTTTACTATGAATAATAATAATTTTAATTCTACGAGTATGCTCCAACTAATAAGATTTTAAACTTTGCCTAAGATAATCTACAGAATTGCAATTGAGCCTTGACTGCATGGGGCCTTGAAGTTTGTTCATTTTGCCCATGTGTAAATAGAGTATAAAATGTAAAGGGTCCTGCTTCCTGGGTTTGTCATATTTGACTTCCTTTCTCCCACTACCACACACACAGACTCACACACCACCCTAATCTGCTTATGTAAGGGACTTGGAGAGCCTGGTCTCACAAGTACTTATCTGTTCTCTCCATTTAATAACATACAGAATGCTGATGTGGAAAAAATATTCAGAACCCCTAGTAGGATTTTGGCTTGCTTGGCATTGATATTGTACCTGTTTCAGCCAAGCACCTTTCTTGTCCTGGGGAAGACCCAAGCATAACTGCCATCAGGCCAGTCAGTGTTCCTTTGACCTGAGGCTGGAGAGGGCGATGATTCCCATCTTCTGCCTTGGGAGTCATGGCTTCTGCTGGGTTGGAGCCATTCCTGCTGGACGCAGAATGGAGCCAAGCCTGTCTGGCAGCAGACAACAGGCAGTGGTATTTGTTACTGGGGAGCAACAGGTCTGAAGATGTGTAAGAAATCCACTGAAGAGATTCAAGGCTCAGTGAAGAATTTTCCTTCTCACTGTAACACATGATAGATGCAGTGTACCCAGTGCCAATTTCATTTTTAAAAACTTATGTCTTCTGACCATGATCCTGACTGTGGCATTTTTTTTTTTAATAAGTTAAAAACAAAGCAAAACTGATGTGCTAGGAGGTGTTTATCTGATAAGAAAGTTGAAGATCATACCCTCCTTTCTAAAACTTAGATTGTTTTTGATTTCTCCCCTTACATTTCTGATTTGGTTATTCCCAGCACACGGCACTTTCTTGGGTCACATTCGGTTGGAACCTCACAAGCCTCAGCAAATCCCCATCGATTCCACAGTCTCTTTTGGTGCATCCACAAGGGCGTATACTCTGCGTGAGAAGCCTCAGACATTGCCATCAGCTGTGAAAGGAGATGAGAAGATGGGTGGAGAGGATGATGAACTCAAGGGCTTACTGGGGCTTCCAGAGGAAGAAACTGAGCTTGATGTAATTCCATGTCTATGTCATTGTTTTGTCTTTGGGAACCTTGGTTTTTGCAGTATGTAGCTGTTCTGCATAGCTTGAAATGCCAATGATTTAGCAGCAGGAGGTTCTCTTGAGTCCAGTAATGGGCCTGTGGCAATGTGGTGTGGCCAGCTGTGATACACCTTGGAGAGCCTCATTGTGTAGATTTGGTTATTTGACCAGGGCTAACAAGGAGCCTGGGTTTACCTGCTACTAGAGCCCCCCTGACACACCCAGTTTTCTTATGTACCTTCACTGGCTGTTAGAAGGCACCAAGACTGGGAGTTACATTTTTCTGTCCTTCTGACTACTTACAGCAATGTTGTCTGGTGTGGTAGCTACTAACCACATTTCAAGTATTTTGTAGTCACATGTGGCTAGTGGCTACCATATTGGATAGTGCAGATAGAGAATATTTCCATCATCACAGAAGGTTCTATCAGACAGCACTGGCTTGGAGAGACTCACACTTTCATTCATTTATGTAGCTACTTTTGGTACTGTCTGAATGCCCAGGAATCTTCTGAATAGAACTAGACTGCTTTTGTTCTCATGGGCATGGCTGCCCTGAAGGCCATGAATTTTAAAGTGCTGAAACTTTTCCTTTTCTAGAGCCTATCCCCAGCAGTTTGTGTTGTAGCTGTAGTCCTTTGCACGTCTGTCACTGCACTGGTGTGACTGGTCTGTTGATATAGGCCAGATGTAAGCATGTCCCTAACTATCCACATACATTTACTATTCCTGTACACTAAGGCAGTTTCCCAACCCTAAGGAAGAAAAGCACAATAGAACTCTTAAAATTGAGAAGTCATTTTGTTCAGAAAAAGTGGCTTCATAGCTAGGGACCTTGTGCAGTCACTCTTACCCATTTCCCTCCAGGCCATTTCTGTGCTTCCCTGTCTTAATTCAGTATGTTAGGTCCTCTCTGGGTCTTCATTTTTAGGACATTTGGAATATTTCAAACTGGTAGTTTGTACCAGATTGGAATAAGTCCAGGTGATTGGGAAGAGGCAGGCAGCAGTGCTATGACCAGGTTAATCATTGAGATGAGCTGAGCATGGTGATTCACACCTATAGTCCCAGCTACTTGGGAGGCTGAGGTGAGAGGATTACTTGAGCTTAGGGGTTCGAGACCAGCCTGGGCAACACACTGAAACCCTGCCCCTTTAAAAAAAAAAAAAATCATGAGATGGTTATGAATGAATAGAATTGGGGCCAAACACAGGGTGGGGAATGACAAACTATTAACACCATAAATTAAGTGCACTGGCAGTGTCCTTGAGAATTTTAAAAGAGAAAATTGCTGGAAAGAAGTAGTCAGTGGTCCATTTTCATCTCTGTTTTGTTATTATTATATACTTAAAAACAATTCTTAGAGTTCTTCCTAGTCATATTTCCTTTTAATCATGTCATCATGATGACATGATATCCTTTATTAAAAACAAAAAAACCTCAACTCAAGTGTATTTGCACATATAACCTGTTCTCAGCTCAAGGCACTGTATTTCCTTTTGAATATCACTGCCCCTCACTAGTCAATGAGGATGTTCCATGTTCTTTCAAATGACACTTGTTCACATTAGCAGTCTAGGGATGATATGAATCTTCTCCAAATGAGGAAGAGAATCTCACCTGCCTTGGGAGGTCAAAGTTAGTCCCTAATGCCTTCCTGTCCTTTATTTAGTATTCTCCATCAAATCCCCTTTGTACTGACTCCTATCTTTCCTGTGTGAACCCTGGCCTATAGAACCTGACAGAGTTCAACACTGCCCACAACAAGCGGATTTCTACCCTCACCATTGAGGAGGGAAATCTGGACATTCAGAGACCAAAGAGGAAGAGGAAGAACTCACGAGTGACGTTCAGTGAGGATGATGAGATCATCAATCCAGGTGAGATGTCTTTCTAGTTTCTTCTGATGAAAAAGCTGTGATCTTAGAGAATAGCATACACAACCCACAGGTCAGTTGTGATGTTTTTCAACAAGGTTTAGCTAAGAGGTGCTATATCAAGGGGAGATATTTTTGTACAATTCATTGGTAGAATATTCCGAACACTCAAGCCAGTTACAATGTGAAAAAAATGGCTAAAGGAAGGGCTCTGTATTATAAAGTGTAGAGAGCAATGCTGTAATTCTCTGCTGATTCAGTATGTCTGTGTCATGGTGGAAGTTTAGCGTATAGGCGTTTGTTGTCTTTACCTCAAAACAGAACATTATTGTCTTTATGGGATTTTCAGTAGCATTGGTAACTCCAGGTCTAGAGAACCTTCTGCTGTCACCATTAATCCCATTCAAGACTTTCTGTAAGGAAATAACTTATAGATACTTTATATGGAAATTTCAGCAAGATGTTTATAGGGAAGGCCACTAAGTTTAACAAGTTGTTATATCATTCAACATTCATTTATTAGACTCAAGTTATATCTCAAGCTATCTCTCAAGTATGACACAGAGCTGGGAGGTATATATAGTTTATACAGTGATGGGATTCTTTTTTTAAAACCTTGTTTGAAAACAAATCTCAGTGAATGGAAACAAGGAACACAGCCTAACAAGTTGCTTTTATTTCCCAAATTGAAATGCCATGAGGATGACTTTCAAGTCCTACATTTAGGTTTAAAATATCAATTATTTAAATGGAGAAGATCTGCTCCAGTGACAGCTCATGGGAAAAAAATGTAGGGATTTTAGTTAATTGAAAATGTTTTCTGAGTCATCAGGGGGATGTGGAAACTAATCAAGTGCAATTTAAGATTGCATTAATAGAAGCATGGTGGGGACAGTAGCTCTACTGGTCTGTGTTCTGACCAGAACTCACCCAAATGAGTTGTATAGTCCTCAGGGGGGAGGAGCTCACAGCTCTGGAGTACAGTCCCCTGCATGCTGGGGATTTAAGGGGACCAGGCATAAGGGAGAGAAGATTGGGGGCCATGCCTTCACTCCTGCCTTCAGTCCCAAGGAGGAAGGGAGGGAGGAAGGAAGGAAGAAAGGGAAGGAGGCGGAGAGGGAGGAGGGAGGAAGTAGGGCAAAACCAGAGCCAGTGGCCACCAAGTATTTGACTAAATGTTTAAAACACAAACAAACAAACAAACCCCAGAAAATCCTTGGCTTACATTTAGAGAAGAATTAAAAGGATTCCTGTGAAACAGATCAGAGCATTCTTGTGACTACAAGCTCACTTTCCGATGGTCTGTGAAGCGAATGGATTATAGTAAGGAGTGCTGGAGGGAAGTGTTCAGGCAGGGACTGGATGACCAATCTGAGAAGTTTATTTCTGGGCCCCAGAACCTATAAGAATTTCCAAGGGTTGGACCAAGAAATTTGTATTTTTAAACATAGTTCTGTTTGTACAACGACTAGAAATCTCCAGTCTTTAAGTCTCTTTTAAGAGTCAGAGTCTGACCTGCTCTATTTTTCTCCCTGAAAAGTAGTGCCCTGGAGCTTTCTTAAAGCAGTATATTTAGGGAGTATAGCACAGTGGTTAAGAGCACAGGTTCTACACTCTGGGAGGCCGAGGTGGGCAGATCACTCAAGGTCAGGAGTTCGAAACCAGCCTGAGTGAGACCCCATCTCTACCAAAAATAGAAAGAAATTAATTGACCAACTAAAAATATATATACAAAAAATTAGCCAGGCATGGTGGCACATGCCTGTAATCCCAGCTACTCGGGAGGCTGAGGCAGTAGGATAGCTTGAGCCCAGGAGATTGAGGTTGCTGTGAGCTAGGCTGATGCCACCACACTCACTCTAGCCTGGGCAACAAAGTGATACTCTGTCTCAAAAATAAAAAAGAGCACAGGTTCTGAAATCAGAGGGCCTGGGTCTGAAATCCACTTTCCACTTAGCTGTATGGTGTTGTTCAAGTGACTTAGCAGACTAGTGACCTTACTAGCTTGGTGGGAAGATTAAATGAGTTAATAAATGTACAAATACTTAAGGTCAGTGCTTGATACTCAGTAAGACCTCGATAAATGTTAGCCATTGTCACCATCATCATCTGCCTTTCACCCATGCAGCCTTTCCTACATTAGAAGTAGAATTAGCAAGGAATTTGTTAGTAATGTCTTCCAAGAGCACAGATCCTGCAATGGGTGTATCCTTTCTCTCCAGAACTAGGATGTGTAGAGAAATTGAAGAGAGGTTGAGAGCCTGAGAACCATTTACTCATCTCAAGATAGGGTCCCCCAGAGCAGCTCAGCCCTGCTCCTCTGCAGGCCTGCGTACACATGTAGGGTACATCGCCTATTAGCCACTTCTCTTGGGCTCCAGTTGCTCTTGGGCTTCATTTAGCTCTCCTTGCTGAAAAGATGGTTGGAACAGGCTCCTATGGCAAGGAAAGATCATGGTGTCTTTTTAGAGACCTTGTCTCCTTCCTAATGAGCCTGGATATTTTTTCCTCTCTCTCCTTTCATATAGAAGCCATTTTTTCATTCTTTGAGCAAAGACTGGTTGTGACCATAATACCAGAGTATCTTTAGAAGCATCCTAGTATGTGAAAAGCCAAACTTAAACCTGGGGCTAATTATTAAATAGGGATTCTTTGTTTTCCAGGAGGATTCATAAGAGTGTTTCTTTCAATAGCAAGCATTCTCAATGCATTTAAAATAAGATTACAGCTATATTAAGTTAAAGGGACTTAGAGTGGTTTTCTCTAATAGTGATAATAAGTCTGTGCCTCCCTCAGATTGAATGTTTCCACTTACTCAACCTTCAGTGGGAAAACTCCCGAATCTTAGATTATTATTATCCAGCCCATACATCCCCTCTGTGCTCCGGGAGCATCATTGTGCACTTCTCTTGAAGTACTTCTATGTGTTGTAGCCTATCTGGCTCTGTAACTGTGAGCCCCCTCAAAGGTGGGACAGTATCTTGCTCTTTATTTCTATGCCTGATGTCCAATTAAGTGAGTCCTGAGAGAATGGCTGGAAAGCAGATCCTTTGCTTAGGCTCAGTGCTGTCTCCGTGCGGAGTGAGTGAAGCTGAAAGCTTTGTAGGGTTAGTGATGTGTATAAGCTATGAAAAGAGAGCCACTATCCCACCCTGTTCAGGGGGCTTCCGATCCTTTAGTAAAAGTCTTGATTGTACAGTTCAAGTTATTCAGGTCAAAAGACCAGGTTAAGTTTAGAGTCCTGGGTCTGAGTCCTAAATCTATTTTTTGCTAATGAGAAGGCATTAGCAAGCTGTGTGGTATGTGCCCCTTGACATGGCATTGTCTTGTCACTGAAATGAGACTGATAGCATTTACTCTTTTCTCTGCCCTTAAAAGAAGAAAATGTATGGAACAGGAAAGAACGTGGGAGAGGCAGCAGAGCACAGATCTGTCTCTGGCTACTTGGGCTCAAGTCCTGGCTCCTGCCCCTCCAACAGGGTGACTAGGCCAGTCGCTTTATTCCTGCAGGCCTTAGTTTGTTTTCTACTCTACTCACTGGTTATGGAGTGGTACCTGCCTCACAGGGTTGTCATGAGGATTGAGCACAGTGCATAGCACACAGTAAACACTCAGACTGTTTTAATGTGAGTTGTGATTGTTTTGTTTGCAGTGAGCCCTATACCCTTATACTTCCTAGCAGAGTACCAAGCCAACCCTGCCCTCATCTCTTTTTGCAGAGGATGTGGATCCCTCAGTTGGTCGCTTCAGGAACATGGTGCAAACTGCAGTGGTCCCAGTCAAGGTAGGAAGCACATTATAACAGCATTGAAATGCTGTACAGTCTGGGTTTAAAAACCCGCTCTTACATGTAGATGAGTGTTAAGTAAGTGCTTAATTTTAAAACTCATTCTAGGTTGGGCATGATGGCTCATGACTGCAATCCTAGCACTCTGGGAGGCTTAGGTGGAAGGATTACTTGAGCTCAGGAATTCAAGACCAGCTTGAGCAAGAGCCAGACCCATCTCTGCTAAAATGAAAAAATTAGCCAGGTGTCATAGTACGTGCCTATAGTCCCAGCTACTTGGGAAGCTGAAGCAGGATAGCTTGAGCCCAAGAGTTTGAGGTTGCACTGAGCTATGATGATGCCATAGCACTCTACCTGGGGTGATAGAGTGAGACTCTGTCTCAAAAAAACATTCTATGCTCCTCCCCCATTTTTCATTCTGTGGAAATGATTTTATCCCACCTATGTTTAGGGAGCCCTAAAGTACCACAGAAAGGCTCCAGATAACTAGGCAGCTTGATGTTTCATATAAATTATGTGCGATCTGAGTCTGTAAATTGACCTTCCAGAAGGGTACAGAGAGAGGCCCACCTTTCTGTGGTCTTTCCCTTCTGACTCAAACTACTAGGTGAGGGACATGCATTATTGCAGTGCTGCATGATTTGCCATGCTTTTTATTTGGGGAATGGGAATAGCACAGGTAGGCAGGTCAGTCCAGATCTGAGTAGGTTAAAGATCAGATTGTTGAAGAACTGAGAGGTGAAAGTTACAGAGATGCTCTGATTGCTCAACTTGTGGAGGAACTACCTGATAGCTAGAATTGTCCAACAGAGAACAGATTGCCCCTTAAAGTAGTGAGATCCATATTAATAGAGGTATTCAAAAAATGATTGGATCCTGTGGACAGCTGCGGTAGGCATACAGAAAAAAGAAGTGATTGGAGGATGCTGGTCCGAGATGCTATAGAGAGTTTTAATTTTTAAAAAAATCTTTAGAATATATTAGACTAAACTGATAAGATATGTCAGACTATCTTTTGGATAGTCTGTTTAATCCAAAAGAACTATAGGTGTGGGGAGGATCTTTCCTGAGCTTTAGTCCAGTATAGAAAAGTAGAAGATGGTTTTCCCTGGGACTTCATTATATTCATGCCAAATTTCCCCTTGAGCTCTTTTCTGTCTTTCTTGCTCTCTCTCTTTTTTTTTTTTTTTTGTTATTCCTTTGGAATGTTCTGAGTGTTCATTAAAGTACAAAATCAGCAGACATTTTTACTTTTATGTCAATTTTATTATGGTATAATTTACATATAATAGTATGGGCTTGGTGGCTCATGCCTGTAATCCTAGTACTCTGGGAGACCAAGGCAGGAGGATCGCTTGAGGTCAGGAGTTCAAGTCCAGCCTGAGTAAGAGCAAGACCCTGTCTCTACTAAAAAATAGAAACAAAAATTTAGCCGGGCATGGTGGGTTGTGCCCGTAGTTCCAGCTACTTGGTAAGCTGAGGCAGGAGGATCACTTGAGCCCAGGAGTTTGAGGTTGCTGTGAGCTAGGCTGATGCCATGGCACTCACTCTAGCCCAGGCAACAAAGCCAGGGTCTGCCTCACAAATAAATAAATAAATAACATGCAATGAAACACACACATTTAAACATATAGTAATGTATACATCTGTGTAACCACCAGCATAATCAAGATATAGAAGATTTCCATCACCCAAAATGTTTCTTCTTGTCCCTTTGCAGCCAAGCCCCTCCTACTCCCAGCCGCAGGCAACCAATAAACTATTTCCTTCACTATAGATTTGTTTTGCTCTCAGATTAATGTTTAAAAATTAGGTACTAAACATGGAGATACCAACTCCCCCTCAAAAAAGAAAAATGTAAATACCTCTTACCATCTTTTATCACTTCCATTTTCTAAAGGAGCATTTTTAACATCAGAGTAAGATAGGAGCTGAATGACCTGAGGATAAAGAAGAGTCATTTAGGCCAGGCACAGTGGCTCATGCCTGTAATCCTAGCTCTCTGGGAGGCCGAGGCGGGTGGATCGTTTGAACTCAGAAGTTCGAAACCAACCTGAGCAAGAGCAAGACCCCATCTCTACTATAAATAGAAAGAAATTAATTGGCCAACTAGTAAATACAGAAAAAATTAGCCAGGCATGGTGGCACATGCCTGTAGTCCCAGCTACTCAGGAGGCTGAGGCAGGAGGATTGCTTGAGCCCAGGAGTTTGAGGTTGCTGTGAGCTAGGCTGATGCCACGGCACTCACTCTAGCCTGGGCAACAAAGTGAGACTCTGTCTCAAAAAAAAAAAAAGAGTCATTTAAATTGGGTAAGTTTTACTCATGACACTATTCTCTCTTTTTTCGGTTTGGCATAGGACAGTGAAAGCTTTGTTGTAATGCAGTGTTTGGGAACCATCATGTTAGATGACTAGTAAGGTCCCTTTAAACGCTAGGATTTCAGGACCATCAAATAAATAGGTTGTTGAAAAATAAAACAGGTTAGAATTTAGGAGCTTTTCCAAAAGCCATTTTTCTAAGGCTGGAATAGAAAAGGCTAACTAACCACTTTTGGGCCTCACCTCTTCTCTCTCTGTTCTCTCCCCTCTCCTCACTGCAAACCACAGAAGAAGCGAGTGGAAGGCCCTGGCTCCCTGGGCCTAGAAGAATCAGGGAACAGGCGCATGCAGAACTTTGCCTTCAGCGGAGGACTTTACGGGGGCCTGCCCCCCACACACAGTGAGGCTGGCTCCCAGCCGCATGGCATCCACGGGACAGCACTCATTGGTGGCTTGCCCATGCCATACCCGAACCTCGCCCCTGATGTGGACTTGACTCCCGTTGTGCCGTCGGCAGTGAACATGAACCCTGCGCCAAACCCTGCAGTCTACAACCCTGAAGCTGTAAATGAACCCAAGAAGAAGAAATATGCAAAAGAGGCTTGGCCGGGCAAGAAACCCACACCTTCCTTACTGATTTGATATTTTTGGTTGTGGAGAAGGGTGGGATTGGGTGGGAATGGGGTTAGAAGGGTGATGGGGGAGCTAATGAACTAGGGAGAAAAACTTTCCATGTGTTCAGTATCGTCTTTCAGACTGTCTCCTGGGGTCCTAACCATGTAACATTAAAACTGGGGTGGGGTTGAAATATCCCATAAAGACCTGTCTTCAGAACACTTTGAGTATAGAGAAAGATTTCATATATCCTCTTACGTAGATTGACTGCCCAGGCTCTTTCCCCAGCTTTCCACTACCTCCTTCTTTCTTTCTCCCTCTTTCTAGGATACTTTTATGGAAAGTCAGATATCCCAGGCCCTCAGGTTGATGCCAGAGCTGTGGAGGTTACAGTAGCATCACCAGCCTGGGGGGTCCAGTAGCCTAATTTGTATCTACTATCCTTGCAAGTCCCAGATAGCAAAAGGGTTGCCGTGGATCCCAGGTTGATCAAAAAGAAGGCTTAGAATTCTGTAGTTAAGCCAAGGTTTAAACTAAAAAATGTTTTCTTGGGTCAGTGGTTTTGAGGTCCAGTAGTTAGGCTTTTCTCTTTTGTCCTTTCTGTTGGAATGAGAACATTTTGATTTTCCTTCGTCTGTGACCAGTGGCATAGACACAGGTTTACAGTTTTTAACTTACAGTATTGTTTGAACTTTGTTTTCTTGTCAAACCTGAGCACTCCACTTGCTGAAGTTTCTTATTTAATTCCAGAATACTATCCTCTACTTTCTGTGGCATTACTTTCCTTTTTAAGTGTGTTTTGAAGGCAATTTTTAAAGGATATGACCAGTTAGGGCAATTCAAATTAAAAAGGAAAAGATTTTACTTTGCAAGTAGCTGATGTCTCTAAGAATTTCTAGATGTTGGCTTGGAGGCTCTTCCCCCCTGGATTGAGAGCTCTCGTTACCTGGAGCTCTAGGACTAGACCTGGCTAACAAACAGGAGACGAAGGTAGGAAACATTGATATGAGCTTTGTACAGAGATTTGTACATTTGTGTAATAGGCCTTTTCACGCTTTATGTGTAGCTTTTTACCTGTAACCTTTATTACATTGTAAATTAAACGTACCTTTTGTCATTCTGGTGTAGTCTGCAGTCTGTGAGTCTGTCTAGTCACTGATTCCCATTGCCATCAGGGAATATTTGTTAAAAGCATGCCATTCAGGCCGGGCGCGGTGGCTCACGCCTGTAATCCTAGCACTCTGGGAGGCCGAGGCGGGCGGATTGCTTGAGGTCAGGAGTTCAAAACCAGCCTGAGCAAGAGTGAGACCCCATCTCTACTAAAAATAGAAAGAAATTAATTAGCCAACTAAAAATATATAGAAAAAATTAGCTGGGCATGGTGGCACATGCCTGTAGTCCCAGCTACTCAGGAGGCTGAGGCAGGAGGATTGCTTGAGCCCAGGAGTTTGAGGTTGCTGTGAGCTAGGCTGATGCCACGGCACTCACTCTAGCCTGGGCAACAGAGTGAGACTCTTGTCTCCAAAAAAAAAAAAAAAATTGCCTCTGATGAATGTGGAAATTCTTATTAGAGATTCATTCCCCAAACTGAAACCCAGCAAAACAAAGTGGGTTAGGAGGTGCGTATTGCCCTTCATCAGGAGACCTCATAAGGGGAGACTGGCCTGTATGGTATTTTGTGGGGTTTTAAAGAGACAAGTCTCACTCTGTTGCCCAGGCTGGAGTGCAATGGTGTCATCATAGTTCACTGCAGCCTTGAACTGGGCTCAAGCGATCCTCCTGCCTCAGTCTCTTGAGTAGCTGGAGCTACAGGCGTGTGCCACCATGCCTGGCTAGGGTGTTTGTTTAAGCCTGCTCACCTACTCTGTAGTTAGAGCTTGTGCATTTGAGCACAGGAGCAAAAGGAACGTAAAGCTGAATGAGTTTAGGAGGGATTTCAGCAAGAGTTTGGATTGAAGGGATGTGTCTGCGTATTTGAATCTTATTTGCAGTAAGTGCACTGTGTATGGTGAGACATATTTGTGGCTTTGTGATGAAGGTGCCAAATAAGTTCCAAATCCCTTGCATGGAGAGTGTTGCCTCGCAGCAGGAGCAGCCTTCTAAAGAACAGCAATCCATAAACTCATAGCTGTTCAAAAGTTGACTTCACAGGCTCTGTAAAAAATGAGTATCAGCTGGGTGCAGTGGCTCACACCTCCTAGCACTTTGGGAGGCCAGGAGTTCAAGACCAGCCTGAGCAACAGAGTGAGGCCTCGTCTCTACAAAAAATAGAAAAAGACGTGGTGAGGCGCACCTACCATTTGACCATTTATAGTATGTCATTTAATTCTCAGAGTCCTATGAGGAATTCTGTTTTTGTCCCCATTTTACAGATGAGATAACTTAGGCTCAGAGACAAAATAAACTTCCCTATGAGCCCACTGTTCTGAAGTCAGGATTGAAATCCTAGTCTGAATCCAGAGCCTGAGCACAGGTTTACACGGCCTCTGTGGTGAGTGCAGGTGAGGGATATGCTTGGCCCGTGGGCAGCACATCATTTTGCTCATCAGGCTGTAGCTGTATTTTCTCTCCTAGGTGCTTGTTTTGTAGTTTAAGAAAAAAGTGCAAACTGGACAACTTACTGGGAGTATATTAAAGGGGTTAGATCTAGGTTAGATCTAGTTTAGATGACGTAAGTCACTAGGAAGTGAGGGATTGTGCCACACATTCTTCGTTTCAGAATTTGAGTTGCAGTATGTGCAGTGTTTGAGGGATGGTCACCCTTGAAGCTCTGACTCGGGGAGGGGAGGCATGGGCAATATACGTAACCTTAACATTTGTACCCCCATAATATGAAATAAAAAAAAGAAAAATTTGACTTGCAGAGTGAAACTTGCATTGGCATCTCAAAGCTCAGCAGAACACCCAGGCCTGCAAGGATACTGCTCTCACTTCAAGGGCCCAGTTGACTTAAGCAGAAGCAGGACTGGCTGACTGGTACCGTGTTTCCTCGAAAATAAGACAGGGTCTTATATTTATTTTTCCTTAAGAAGGCACCCTAGGGCTTATTTTCAGGGAATGTTATTTTCCCCTCAAAGCCTCAGCTTACAGCACGCACAGGATGGCCGGGACGTGACAGGGGGAGCCCACTTTGTTGGTGGGGCTGCCCACACCTTTCGGGTCAGTATGGGGATAGTAGCTGTCACGATGGCGCAGATGAGAAGGGCTGCTCGTCTTCTTTAGCCTCCGAGACAAAATGCATGGGTTGTGCAGATACACTGCGTAGCCACGCCCATCACTAGGTCTTATTTTCGGGGTAGGGCTTATATTGTGCAAATGCTTAGAAATCCTGCTAGGGCTTATTTTATGGGTAGGTCTTATTTTCGGGGAAACACGGTAGTTATAGGATGTAAGGAGGCAGGTACGTGTGGAAACTGGCTTAACTGGCACCATATTTCTGATCTATCCCAATCATGCTTTAGAGCCCCTCAGATGAGCACCCCATGAAGGGGATCAGTGGCCCTTAATCAGCTCTGGGCCACGACCATAGATGGATAAGCCCCTCTTGTTCGCCACCAGGATGGGCAAATGGGCCACTGCTGTGGTGAGCACAGTGCTGTTGGGGGACACAGCGCCCACTACCCCCCATGAGACGTGACTGTGGGTTTTCCCAGAGTCCAGTGCTCATTCATGAGCCAACTGCTAAGGAGGGAAGGTGTGATCCCTGTTCTCCCCAGGGCAGGGCAGGTGGTGAGCCCTGCGGAGAAGGACCTCCATTGACAAAGACCAACCGTTCCCCAGGGGATCTTGGGCCAAGATCAGCTGTTTGACAGTGCTTGCCTAAAATACGTTCACTATTACATGCACATCATAGAACTTTGGAGTCAGAAGAGACTCAGGAGATCCTGTTCAGACCCCTCATTTTGCTGGTGAGCAAATGGGCAGTGAGGACTTGCTTCCTTCTGCCTTGGGCTGAACATGTGTGAGTCCGGCATACAGCAGTGACTCCCCCTGCCTGCCAGAGGCTCCCCTCTGGCGGGAAATAGCCACGCGCACTTAGCACCTGTCTGGGTTGCTGGACAGGTGAAACTTGCATTGGCATCTCACCAGAAAAAAATCTCTGGTGGCAGATGGGTAAGATGGTCCCTGACCTCTTGCTGAAATCCCTCCTAAACTCATTCAACTTTACGTTCCTTTTGCTCCTGTGCTCAAATGCACAAGCTCTAACTACAGAGTAGGTGAGCAGGCTTAAACAAACACCCTAGCCAGGCATGGTGGCACACGCCTGTAGCTCCAGCTACTCAAGAGACTGAGGCAGGAGGATCGCTTGAGCCCAGTTCAAGGCTGCAGTGACACCACTGCACTCCAGCCTGGGCAACAGAGCGAGACTTGTCCCTTAAAAAAAGCTTTAATGGCAGATGGATAGGGTGGGGACACTAACCCTGACCAAGACCCAGACATTTGAGCTGAGCATTGAAGAGTAAGTAGGAACTTGCTACCTGAGGAGTAAGTAGGAACTTGCTACCTGAGGAGTGTGGACCAAGGCTTTCTAGGCAGAGGGACCACCCTGAGAGAGGCAGAATTCAAAAATAAGATGATGAAAGATATGCTCATATAGATATTTTGGGAAATCCAGAAAAAGATCCATCACGCACATACCCTCCTCACCCAGAGTGGGGAGAGACTTCCTTGGGAAGATCTCAGGTAGGGGCAGTGATTGGTTGGTTTCAGATGTTAGGGAAAAAACCCTCTGGTGGCAGATGGATAAGATGGTCCCTGACCTCTAGTGAGACTCCCCCAAGCAGGGGAGTTATCAGGTGTTTTAGTGCTGTCTCTCACAGTTTAGGAAATCTAGAGATAAGCCCAAATGTTTTGAGAATTCAGAAGGGAAAGTTCCCCTGTGGGAGTGGAGGGCAGCTAAGAGGCGAGGGTAGTGGGCAGCTTCTCCAAGTGGTGGAGCGGAGGCCACTCCAAGCAGCGCGACTGCAGGAGCGAAGATGGGCAGAGTGGGTCAAAGCCCCTGGCATGTGACGGGTGGCAGAAGGCCCTTGGATGCCTATGGAGTGGATGTTCTCTGTGGCCAGGGAGTAAAATCGTTGCCTGTTCTGCGGAGGGAATTGGATTCTGCACAGGGTCGGGATGCAGTTCCAGAGTCTGCCAGGAGGCGGGGCTCCATGCCCACCCTTGGAGCCACTGTGGTGACCAGCGTGGACCTGGTGATGTGGGCCTGGAGGTGGGGCCAGAGGGAAGGAAAAGAATCTGGCTCAGGCCTGGCACCCTACCGGACACTTCTTGTGTGTTGTCACACTTAAATCTCCCAACAGCCCTGAAAGGAGGTTGGTAGTGGCCCCATTTTACAGATGGGAAACTTGAGGCTCAGAGTAAGAGAACCAAGGTCACACAGCCAGCGAGTGGCAAAGCTGCATTGCAACCTGGCCCTGTGTCTGTATCTCCGGCCCCTTTTGAGACACATGGGGCTCGGGGTACTGAGGCTGCACACCTGTGCCAGGTTGGCCCAGGCAGCCCTCCGCAGACACCTGCACCCAGGGCCCCAAGGCTGCTGACAGGTCGTGCAGGTAAGGATGGAAGGAGGCAGCAGAAGAGAACTTTGGGGTTAATTTGTAAGGGGTTGTTTAAAGAAAAGGGCCGGGCGCGGTGGCTCACGCCTGTAATTCTAGCACTCTGGGAGGCCAAGGCGGGCAGATTGCTTGAAACCAGCCTGAGCGAGACCCCGTCTCTACTAAAAATAGAAAGAAATTAATTGGCCAACTAAAAATATATAGAAAAAAAAATTAGCCGGGCATGGTGGCGCATGACTGTAGTCCCAGCTACTCGGAGGCTGAGGCAGCAGGATTGCTTGAGCCCAGGAGTTTGAGGTTGCCGTGAGCTAGGCTGATGCCACGGCACTCACTCTAGCCTAGGCAACAAAGTGAGACTCTGTCTCAAAAAAAATAAAATAAAAATAAAGAAAAGGAAAAAAATAAGAAGAGAACCTCAGGGAGCCTGCCTTCCCTGGGCACCTGCAGATCACTCAACTTGCCCTTATTCTCACCTTCAAGGAAAACAAAGCAAAACCTCTTGATTCCATTCTGCACCAGCCCCCTCTGCCCCCACCCCATGCTCTGCTCCATTCGCTGTTG